AGTCTTATGTGCGCCTCGGCGATTACTATGAATGCAACAAAAATGCAAAGGTGAGGACGTTAGCCTTAACGCAAGTTTTTGTCTCTCAGTTATGAGGGCTATATGTATGTGCTCTCCTTGTTGTTAATTAGTGCCACCCCATCGTGGTGACCTAAATGACATTTAGAAGTTTCTGAATGTAATACATGCTCACACATATCTGTATAAGGTCATGCAAATCTCCAAACAAGTTCCAGACTTAGTTCCTTCCACAGATTTAACCAATACTTGGTTGCCTTCACTTTGATTTCAGAATAATGCTACACTGCTGAAAATCGTGTATATCCCTAATGACAGAGAGGATGAAAACGGGATCGGTGATAGACTGATCCACCTGTACCCACTACAACGGTCATTTCCGCTTCTACGATAATCGAACTGGCGTATAGATTGGCCCATAACTGTTTGGGGCTTATTTGGTTTTTATTCAGCCAGGTATATTCCTGACCATGATCTCGGGCCAGAAACAAGCATGCGCACGCAGGCGGTTCGCAGACTAGTTCGTAAGCACCGTTCGTGACCGTTTTGCCGTCGTCAAATGGTTGAAATTCTAGCGTGTCTGACTCGTAATGCGCACGCTTTGTTGATTGGAAAAGTGTACATCAAACTGCCCGACAAGCGGAATTCCGTGTCTGCCTAAGACCATTTCAGTGAACTTCGCGAAATAAGGGTCAATCACGAATCGTCAGAATTACACAATCTGGGGTGGGAGGGAGGCAGGGAGACTAAATAAGACTACAATAGCCATATTTTTATCCGTGCCATTTTAATTCCTCCTCTAGATTGTCTGAAATTCAAACGTCTTTCATTTCAGGGCTTTGTCAAAATGTCGGAAAGTTCGGTGGATGCATTAATCGCTGCGGCCGCAGAAACCCCGGTGGGCAGGAGAAACTCTCAAATCAATACCACAACTTCTGGCAAACTTTCCGCCTGTTCTGACTTGTCTTCAATTCCCCAACTTCCAAACAGTGAGCAGAAAGATTTCAAATTTTTTTATTCTCATTCCAAGCTCATTTATTTGCTGACATCAAAGGGCATGTTAGCCTTATCAGTGGCCGCTCAAGGGCTTCCTGAGCATAGCCTTATGTGTAAAAGGAGGAGTCCTGCGCGGCCTAAGAATTTGATCCAGTGTTGCAACTCCCGCGTTAGAACGGGTTGCAACTCAGAATCTTTATTATGATATTCCGCAAGGTCATTTACGCGTGATGTTCAGGCCTAGGTCTGCATGCAGATTACTGGTCAATTTCAATCTCCGACAGTCAACCTTTATTGCAATTTAGGTGGATATCGCTACGTGAATTTCGGCGAAAGAACATCGGTTTTGTTGGATGGTTTTCTCTCTCACACTTAAACGAGTTTTTCTGCTCCACCCAGGGTTTCACTTTCACGTTTGGCCTATCAAATTATACCGTTGTTGGCGTGTTTTTACCCTGCAATATTCTAGGGTTTACCCTGCAGTTTGTGCGGCTTTCAGATGTGCGTTGACAAGCCTGCCTACGCACGCACAATACGACCAATAGATTCATTCTTTGTGGTCGATTTGGCCGTCCCCATAGTAGGTAGTCTTTTTATGTGTAAGTCGCTGTAATCATCAGCCGGCGAAGTCAACAATGCTTTCAACTAAGCTGTACGCACGATCCTATTAGCTTTCCTATTTGCCCTGCTTTCCAGTATAGCATTTCTTTTTCCTGTCTCCAGCATCAACATAGTAGTTTAAGCCCACCGAAGTGTCCTTATTGGAGCTGCACAATTGTCGAACTTCGTTAAGATTCATCCTAGCGGAAAAGGATAGGGATATAACTTAGATATGGCTCCACAGCGATTTGTTGACTATCACGGTGGATTCTTCTGTTTTCACTACCTGGCTGGTAGTTTGGTCCGTCAGAAAAG